TCTTTCCCTCGTCTGTATCTTGACCCGCGCACAGCTCAGGGTGGCCCATGTCTGGCCCAACTGCACCCCCAAGGCCAAGGGCAAGAAGCTGCAGCCTCATAGCCTTGGCCGCTTCTTCAGGTACCATCCCCTACCTGGATCCTCTGTCCTAGCAGGTCGGCAGTGGGGACAGGAGACTGGGCCACTGCCTCTTGGGACAGTCTTGGGGGTCAGAACATGGTACTCCTGGCCTGGGGAAGAAACCAGAACAGTCAGTGTCAGTTGGGCGTGGATGCAGAACTGGGGACGATTTAGAATAAGGATCTCTGTCCTCTTCCTCCAAATGGTTTAATAGTCTCCCTCTCAATCTTCTCACGCACACACACACACGTGCACACACATGTGATATATGTGCATAAATATGTAGCTATATAATTGTGCACGTACATATACACATATACATAAAAACACTTTTATTTGTCTGTTTATTATAAGCTCTCTCCAGACTCCTGTTTCATCTCAGATCCTATTTAGGGACCAGCTGCCTAGTTCTTGATATACAGAAGCAACCAACAAATGCAAGCTCAGTCAGGATTGGAAAGCAGGCCAGGAAGACATGATAAGCAATGACAAAGTGTGATGCTACTCCCCCATACCCCGGCTTGCTGGTTCGGATTAGAATGGCTTGGGCATGGAGTCAGTGGTGTTTTCTCTGTGCTCCAAGCAGCTGGAAAATAGGGGTAGTCATACTGTGGGTTTCATAGGCTTGTTGGGAGGACTGAATGGGGTCATATCCGTGAGGTATCCTGCCCTGTGCCTGGCAGATGTCAAGTGCTCAAGGTTATCAGAAGGTTGGACAGGGTCTTGGGACTGCACCCAGCCCTGCCATCCCCTGCCTCGTCCAACCCTGAGTCTCAAATAAGACCTTCAGAATGTTGCCTGATTAATTACTTTTTCTCTCTCCTCTGCCGTGCAGGGTCCCCACTTTATACTCTGTGTGTGTTGCATTGGGGTCCCTGGACGCGCTGCTGCTTTCACTTCTAACCCTCGGCTTCTATCTGCTCTGCTGGGAGACACTGTATCTCATTTCCTGCCTTCTCTGCATAGTATCTGAGGTTAAGAGCCCTCCCTCCCAGTGAGGTATGGGTGAGAGCCACGTCTATAATTTACTTCCTATAATTCACACATTTACTATAATTGCTTATTTGTTACTGGTCTTCTCTGCTATGCAGTCAGATTCATGAAAGTAGGAGCCGTATCCGTACTTGTTTTAATGTTAAGCACTCTGAAATCCTACTGTGTGTCACCTCAAGCCTCACTATGTGCCGGGTACCCAGTCCGTGAGACACGGGGACCCCTGGGGAATCAGAACCTTAAGGCAGTCCAGGAGTGATTCCGTGTTCACCTCGTCACCCAGGTCCTGCAAACGTCAAGCTCTCCTTAAACCGCTTCATGAACGACCAGCTGAATGGGCTTCCCCGGAACCAAGCATGGGCCCCGACAAAGGGGAGGCCTCAGAAACTATTTGCTGAGTGAATGAACAAACAAACGCACCCAGATCCAGAGACAATACTCCCTGATGTTTCTGTATCACACAACTCATAAAAAAATGATAGTATTTCAATGGCCCACTGGCTAAATGGAAGAGCCTTCTCAGGACAGAGACCAACCTGGGGACCATACCCACCCAGCGCCCCCTCCTGGCCCACCTGTGTATTGGCCCCGGAAGGTGACCCTCTCTGGCCGACCGGTGCTACCCACTCCTCTCCTTCTATCCCGAGCTGCTTGTGGACTGTCCTCGGTGGTCTTGCCCCTCTCAGAGAACAGCCTGGGGGAGACTGGCTCAGATTCGGAACCTGAGGTGGAAAGAGGGGCATCAGAGGGGGAGGGGGTGGGGGTCACATAGTTCAGGGAGTGGGTGGATCAAGAGTTCAGGCTCTGGGGCAGGCTTAGATTTTAAACCCGGCTCTGCCCCTTAGTAATCACAGCTGACACATCTGGACCCCTGGCCTTGTGCTAAACGCTTGGCATGCTTCATGTCACGTACCCTCACAGCAACCCAAGGAGTGGACGCTATTATCACTGCACTGTTAGCTGTCCGTTTAACTGCACAGGTCAGGTAAACAACCTGGCCAAGGCCACACAGCTAGAAAGGAGTGAGCTGGGGCCACTGATTCCAGAGCCGTATTCCTTCAGGCAAGTCCCCTGTGCTTCCGGGCTTTGGTGTCCTGATCTACAGAACGTGGATAATACGACCCATCTTGCAGTGAAGATTAAGCAAGACGATACACATACACAAAGCCCTTACGGAAACCGCAGCTCATAGTGCGTGCATAGCATACTGCTGCTGTCATTAGAAGTACATGGTATTTCAGAGCACTACAACTACCTAAAAAAGACACCCGAAACCTTCTGCAAGTTTCCTCTAAGGCTGTTGCTGTAGTCCCTGACCACTTAGCCAGCATGCCCAGACTGTGGCCTCCAAAAATCAGTCCAGGTGGGTGGTCACTTACTCAGGGACAATCGAGGCACCTCCCGAGGCACCAAGGAGGACCTGGCTTGCCTCCTTCCTGCGGGGACTGCTTGCTCTGCACCCCCAGGCTCACCAGACAACCTCTCTGTGGATTTACTAGCAAAAGGGAGAGACAGAGAGATGATGTCACTGGATGAGGTTTCATGCAGCCTTTAAAGATTATCAGTGAGAAGCCCAACCCAGAGAAACGCTTATAACATAAGGAAAGAGGAGAATACGAAAGTCAAAACCAAAGACTCTGGAGTCAGACTCATAGAAAACGGCTCTGAGCCTCTCTGCCCCTCAGTTTCCTCATCTGTCAAATGGGGATAATAGGAGCAATGACTTCAGAGGGTTGTTGGAAGGACTGATGAGACAATGTCCATTAAAAATGTTAACACAGTGCCCTCCAATAGAAATACTCAGAAGTTAGTTAGTTAAAGATGATTTTATAAGTCATCATAAGTGAACAGCTGCTGAGTGAGTGGGTGAGAGGGTGAGCGTCCTGAAAATGTTCTAGCTCTTCACTTGGGTGATGAGTTCAGGGATATTCACTGCATCATGCTTTATTATTAACACATATGTTTAATATATTCTTCTATGTATCAAATATCACATGGTAAAAAAAAAAAAATGTAAGAGTGAATGAATGAGTGAATAAGCGAGAGAGGGGTGTGGCTGTGCCTGAGTCCACATGTCTGAGGAGAGCCAGAGGTTGGCCAACTCGACCCTCTGCAGCTCCCACCAGGGCATAGGGGCATAGGGAGTTTGGGGTTCACCCACCTGCCATAATGGGAGCCCCAAGTGGCTGAGGAATCAGCTGGCTGGTCCCGGGCCTGGGCGGGGTGGTCAAAGTTGGACACTGGGTGCTTCGGGCTGCCCTGGAGGTGCTGGTGCAGGCTGTCCTCCAGCCGGAGCCGGAGCCGGGATACCTCTTCCTGCAGCTCACGGATGGCCTGGCTGGGGTGGGGGGTGTGGAGACGGGAGAAAGAACAGATGCACAGTGAACAGAGCTGCAGCCGCCACCTGAGTGCTGCCTGGACGCCAGGTCTTTGTCCTTTTCCAGCAGGCACCGTCCAACACTGCTGTCGGTGGATTCTCGAACTTCCCTGTGTGTCCACTTTTCTTGCTACACATCGTGACACCCCTCTGAGCTCATGTCCCTCCCTGCACATCTGGTGAGCAAAGCAGAACCTTCTCTGAGGTTTACCCAACCTAGCATGCAGGGCCTCTGAGTAACTATTCTGAAGCACCAGTGAGAAATTCTCAAGATAGAGATGAGGATGCAGAGAAGAGAGGGCATTGGCTCAAGGTGGACTTTAAAATTTCAATTCTGACCTGCCTCAGCCCCCGGGCTGCCCTCCCCTTCCTCAACCTCTGTCTGTAGAAACCCTAACTATCTGTCCAGGCCTGGTTCCTTCCCGCCTTTGCTCAGCACCCGCTCCTGGGTTCCCCCAAACATTTCCTACGTTGTTCAAGCCCATCTCCCTGCTCCTGGCGGAAGATGCTTGTTTATCTGTCTCCTCAACCAGACAGTGAGCCCCTGGCAGGCAAGGAGTGGGCCTCCCCATCTCACAACCCCTGAGACCTCATAGATGCTCAGAGAATGGCACTGAGCTGGCCTCCAGGCTCCCAGAGGGAGCAGAGTAAAGGTGTGTGTGTGGAGAAGGGACAAAGAGACACACGGTGCTTCCCATCACCAACTGAACGTGAGCAGGCTGGAAGCTGCAGGGGTGCCACACGCAAGGCTGCTGTCGTGCTGGGGAAGCCCCCAAACACAGCCCAACCTGTGATTGGCAAAAGGTATCTCACGAGCCACTAGCATCTTGGGAGTAAATCCTGTTTGCATCTCTCCCCGATCGGTCCCTGAATCTCTAGGGTCTCCTTCTGAGGGAGTCGCTGGCACTGCAGCAGCCAATTCCACCCAGACACTGCTACACACAAACCCCCCTACACACGGGGCATCAGAGTCCGGGCTGGGCACGGCCGTCCTCCAGGCTGATGCAAGCTCTACGTCTACTGTTCGGACCAGCTTCCGGGGTGAGGGCTCCCCTCAGGGTTAGTTCTTGCCTGGTGGCCCCTGGACTCTTGGGGGAGTGTCTCCTGGTGCCGGCTTCAGCAGACATCAGCCTTCAGATGGGTGCACAGAGGAGGCGGGAGACCTCCCTCTGGCTATGGCCTGGCGCTGTGTGCGTCTAAGGGCAGTTGGTTCCCCTGGCAATTCCCAGGGCAATGCTTGTTGGGGTTTCCAAGGCAAACCATGAGGGTGGCGGCTGCAGGAGAGTGAGAACTCCGGTCACCAGTTAAGCCCTGAAAGGCAGGGCTGAGGCCCCGTGATGGGTGCAGGACTGGGGCGGCTCTGGCTCCCTGTCCAGGCCAAAGGCCGCTGAACGAGAGCCTGGGATTTGGAATACCCCCTTAGGCGTCACTTGTCCTCTCTGGCTTGTTTCTATCAGGATCTCGGTCTTCCTGACCTAATCCTTTAGTGACTGAGTGCCAGCTGGCACTTAAAAGTCATCTTTCCCTGCAATTTTACTCCCCCTTCCTAGGTTCCCCATCTCCGCAGCAGCATCCAACTGGTTGGCCAGCCAGC